GAGGGAATATTATTTGTAGACGAATAAGTTCAAAATGTGTTTCTGAAGATTAATTTGTCCCTTATCTCTAGCATAAGAAGTACCACAGGTTGGTGGACGAAATACAGATTGGACAGGATATTTTATTTAATATATGTAATTTTCTTGCATAGCCTACAGCTATCCAGAAAATTGCAAGTATTCATAATTGTCTAAAAATATATCAAATAATCCCCCATCTCGTGTATGAACCTCAACATTCAATTTCATGCGCAATATAATTTTAAATGGCTTATGTCGAATTAGGATCAGATTTTCATGATAGTTATGTTCCAGGAGGCAATTATAATTTTACACGTTGCATTAGTGAAATAGTTTGGTGGATGACTGAATTAACATTTGACATATCAATCATGCCCCCGGTATGTCCATAATAAAAATTGTACTGACTTGTTACCTCATGGACATGACTTGAAATTTCTGCAAAATTTCATGCCTCCGGCAAGACGATTTTGTTTAGCTTTGCTTATATAGTTCTCAGTTCATTGTCTTATTTGTTTTATCCTGGGGGAGGTAAGTTTTTATGCTTGGAACTCTTGGGTTTTCCTTGTTTTGACTCTTTCATTATAGTAACTATAGTTCTGCTGATAAAAGAAGTAACAAGAGCTCTTCATTTCAGGTCCATTATTACGTCCAATCGCACATTCAGATTAATGAATATCGAGATCGCGTGGTTTTGGTAAAAAGGATTCATAAATCCCTTCCTTTATGTGGGTGTACTTATAATCCCTTGTATTTTACTAAGTTGGTTCATCTGTCACAGCCTGCTGCAAGTAAGAAGTATGGGAAACACATAGGCAAATGTCTGAAGGTTTTAGACATGACTGGCTTGAAACTTTCAGCTCTAAACCAAATAAAGGTATATTCCAGTAAGAGTTCTACTCTCCTTTAGTTACGCTCTTTTAAAGTATTATTTGATCAAGGAAATTGTGGGAAAAATACCAAATGTTACTGATTGTTGATCTCGAAGATTTCACTTTTAGTTTTTTCCAGTTCTTAAAAATCTTTCCAGATAGAGCAAAGAACAAGAATATTTGTTTTGTCAGAAGAATATGTACTGCAAGACTATTTCTAACCATATAGACAGATACATATACTTATTTGAGAATTGCCTTGGAGCCACTGCTGTTAATATTTGGAGCAAAATATATTAACTTAATGTTATTCCCTTGTTCAGCTGTTGACTATAATTTCTTCCATTGATGACCTAAATTACCCGGAGAAGGTAGTTACATACTACATTGTGAATGCTCCATATATCTTTTCAGCTTGTTGGAAGGTTTGTCTCTTATTTATGTCTTTTTCTTTTTCAGTATACTCTTTTATCAATTATTTCTTGCATGTAGAGATTACATGTTTTGAATGACTAAATTCTCTAATCTGCTGTAACATATGATTTCATTAGGTCGTCAAGCCTCTGCTGCAGGAGAGGACAAGAAAAAAGGTTCAGGTTTTATCAGGTTGTGGACAGGATGATTTATTGAAGGTAGCTGTTCTTTTACCATTGTTAAGTTGTCATCTTCTACTAGGAGGATGTAGCTACATTTTGGCTATAGAAAATTGGTGGAGAACTAATAAAGAAAACAGCTATTTAGACTTCCCATCTTATAGAAAATGGTATAGCCATCCAGACACTGGTTTAGGGATACAAGCAACACTGATCAGTTGTAACTAGGAAAAATTTGCCACTTGTCCTAAATATACCCCTATGGTTCCTTAGTCTGTAGTGTAGTTCATGATTATGAGTGTGCCACTTGGATAAACAACTTCTGGTTTCAGTGATCTATTTGAGAACGTTATCTTGTATTACCTATTCTCGGAGTTGTTGAGAGATCTAACCGTCTTGTCTGGTAACATGTGTAGATCATGGACTATTCCTCGCTCCCCCATTTTTGCCGGAGAGAAGGTTCTGGATCTTCCAAATACTCAGGCAGCTCGAATCAAAATTGTTATTCCTTGGATCATCCATTTCACCAGCAACTTTACAATTACATAAAGCAGCAGGCGTTGCTTCGTAAACCTGTTAGGCCTATTAAACAGGGCTCTGTCCATGTGAATTTTCCTGATGAGGTCACCGAGGGGACTGAGTTTGTTCAGACTTTGGCATCAGAATTTCAAAAATTTGAAAATCAGAATGGGCTCGTTCAGTCGTTAGATGAACTTAATATTGATGATCATCGAGTATAGAAAGTTTTGGTCCAATGACATCCTAAAATAAGAGTTTTGGCCATTATGCACTTTACCGGCTAACAATTATGGATCCTCATGTAAGTATACTTATTAATAGCTCATGCAGTCAACAGAGGGCTGTCTTCTAATTAGTAGCCTCAAATTTTTATGTATTCTAATTGCACGAGGTACGTCTTCAACATAAAACCACTAAGTATAGGGGATACGTGGTTGACATTTATAATTGTTATAGTAGATGTACATAGAGGTATATGTTGCTCGAGCTCTTGTTCGAGATACTATTCGTTCAGCGCATGTATTAATAAATGTTTATCCGTCTCTGATGTTGGTCCTTCTATATATTATGTATTGGTAATATAGCAATAATGTTCAACTAATCCTTAAAGCTGGTTGATGATCCGCACATATCTATTTTTTTTGTTTATGCTATTGTGAAATATGGCAGGACCGGACTAATTTGTAAAGCAATCTTTGGTATATTGATGTGAACAATGAAGATTACTAAGTTAGTTTAGCTAAAGACATCATACTAACTGAAGCAAAAGGAATAGAACGCTGCTTTAAAGACATTTTATACATAGTTTCAGAGCAAACAAATTGGTTAAAGTAACAGAAATGCAGCATAAACAAAACAAATGTCCCATATGGGAGGATAGGAAATTTGCTTTTTGTATCTCTCAGTTATGTACAAGCAATCAGTCGGTGCGCCTTTTGCCATATTAATAAAATCTTAGACTTGTTTATCCAAAAAGAAAGGTTCTCAACTTGAATTCTGGTTCTCATATTGTGCATGGATGATCACAAAACTGTCACTTCTTTTCTATTAGAAGATTCTCCAGCTACGTGATCTTATTGCTTTTGAGGTTTTTTTCTTCAGTTGTCCCTCAACGACCTTTTTGGCTGCCTCAGCCATCTCTGCTGCCTTTAAAGCTTCCTTGATTGCAACTTCTATGTCCCGCTTCTCTTTCAGACCTGCCTCCACTTTCACGAGTGCTTCCTTTTCATTGGCAGTAATGGTCTCTACTTGAGCCATGGCAGTTGCAACCTTTATGTCAGCCTCATTTCTGATTTCTTCCACCTTTTTGCTTAAAGCTTCGTATTTCTCAACTGCCAATTTGATTATTCTGTTAGACTCTGGGCTTATCAGATCAGAAGCGTCTTCTGTTATGGATGAATTGTGAATCTGATCACTTGCGAGTGTCTCTGCAGCTGTAACTTTCAGTCTTTCCTCTGCTTCCTTGGCTTCAGCTCGAGCTGTTACAGCTTCTTGTCTGAGTAATTCCGCCTTCTTCTTCATCTCTTCTGCTTCCTGTAGAAAATGAACAGCCTCGGAAGTAAACTGTTGGATGTCTCCCTTTGGCGTTTTCGCTTCAAGCTCTTTCTTGCTGTTATCAAGATCTAACCGCAAGTTCTCAGCAAGGGCTTCTGCTTCATCTGCCTTCTTTTTAAGTTGAGAGTTATGGCCCTTGAAGCAATCTAATTCTGCTTGAAGGGAATCCACCAGGCTTCTGAACGACCTTTCTTCGTCTACTATCTCTTGAAATGCCTTTTTAGTACGATCAAGCTCTGAACTTGTTTTGGCAAAAGAATCCAAATCCAAGGCACGGACATTGTTGAGTTGTTCTTGCAAGCTTTCAATCGCCTTATTAGTTTCCTCGAGCTTCTCCACTAGATTTTCGTCCCTGATTTTCTTCTCTGCTTCCTCCTTAGCTGTTCTAAGAGGAGATTCTTCTTTATTTGCAACAAGCAGATATCGATGCTCATCTAGCTCACTGTTGGATTTCTCATCTTGGAGTTGTCTGGCTCGTGCCTTTGCAGCTTCGGTTGCCTCAATGGCTGCTTGCTTTGATTTGCATAACGTTTCGAGCTGGCCTGTGAGTTCCTGCAGAGTTGTCTTGGCATTTTCCAGCTCACGGAGAGCATGACCTTTGGTAGTTTCTGTGCTTCTTATCTGTTGTTTGAGGTTATCAAGTTCTCTGAGGGCCAAGTTAAGCTGACTCTCCTTCTATAAAACCACAATCAAGTCACTTGTTATTCATTTATTAATATATATATATACTAGCTAGTACTCCTAGACATGTTATTGCATACCTACCTCTTCAGCGGTTTTTGATTTCTTAAAGGTAAGAGGCTTAGCCTTGGGGGAGGAACCTGTACCAGCTTCGCCAAACAAACTAACAGCAGCTCTGACAGATTGGAAAGGTGATCTCGTATCAATCTCTCCCACCTCGGTTCTAGGGGAACCACCTATGCTTCGAGTTACTATTATTCTCGGCGAACCTGTTGGACTCGACGCTGTAGATCTTGGAGAGCCTGACCCATTTTGCCGCCGGTTTCTCAACATTGTCTTTCTTGTAATTCCTCCAGCTGAATCCTGCAAAAGATCAAACATACCATGGTATGTTAAATGAATTATGAGTTTCCAAGTTTTAAAACTATTGCACCATAAAACCAAAGACAAGAGGGGTTGCTCTGATGGTAAGCACCATCCACTTCCAACTAAGAGGTTGTGAGTTCGAGTCACAAAGGTGGGGAGTTCTTGGAGAGAAGGATGCTCTCTACCCCAGGATAGGGGTAAGGTTGTTGTTGCATAAAACCATTGAAAACAAGTTTGAAAATCTGACCCGTGTCATTACGTTTTCTGATCCAAACCTAAACAATATAATAATTATTTCAAAATTTTGACGCTTCCCATTCCCAGAGCCAATATGTTCCTATTCAAAAATTGAAAGAATCTGCAGGTGGAAATTATACTGCTAATATGGTCAACAAACCATTAGAGAAACGAGATGGACTCGAGATTATGGTGTCCAGTGCTAACCATGAGATCGTTATATTCACATTGCAGGAATGCAATAAATCAGATATAACTAAAAGATGGAATATAGAAAAGGTAAAAATGAACCTGACAGATTAGCAAGTGGCTCGCTTCTTCTCCTTCTTCGTTAAAGAAGGAGATGTCAGGATCCAACAGACTGCCTTATGGCTAATGTTTTATCATAGGTATATCGATGATGTCAAGTTGCCTTTATGTTATATATACGTAAGATGTGTAGTGGAACTCAAAGCTGCAACTTCAGGTCCTTGTCTTGAATCCCCCGTGTTGGAAAGAGAAATGATAGCGGTAAGAAAACGAAGAATCACAAAAAAGAGAAAGACGAAACGAAGAATCACAAAAAAGAAAAAGACGAAGATGGTTAGGATCAGGAAGGAGGTTCATATATCTAAAAGTGTTTTATTGCATCATGCAATGGCATAAAGCAGCCGTTTTACTTTTAGGAATATACGAGGTTTGAGATCTTGTTTTTTTTTTTCCTTTAATTATTTGTTGGACACAGTATTTCCCTTCCAACAATTTTTAGAGGTATTTGCAGAATAAGCGCAAAAAGAATGACTTCATTGCTCGCCATACATATATATACATATACACACATACACACACTATACACACATATATATAAAACTCTAAAACTCTGATATCGTCACATCCCACAAGTTAACCACAAAAACAGATTGATGCTAAAAATAAAGTCATGATGTAGAACTATAAGTAAATGTGGACGACCACTACTACCCCTATTTTTACCCATGATGTAAATAATCTCCCAATCCCACTACTCATGACTACTAGTATTAGTGCACGAACCATGCGCGAATATTATTAAAGAATATTAGTCATATCAAAGTATGATCTAATTTATTTGAGCACGTAGCATCATATGTAATGTTTGGCTTAAAGTATGCTTATTTTTACATATATTGCCTCACATTTTGCTCATGTCTCGATGATTTGAGAAGTTTAATTTGATTATTTGTGCTAATATTTGGTATTTCTATATGTAGGGATCATTCGGATGCAATTTGTTGCATAAAACCATCGAAAACAAGTTTGACAATCTGACCCGTGTCATTACGTTTCTGATCCAAACCAAGCCCTCCCCCCTTCCTCATCATCTAGAACCAATATACAATATAATAATTATTTCAAAATTTTGACTCTTCCCATTCCCAAAGTCAATATGTTCCTATTCAAGAATTGAAAGAATCTGCAGGTGGAAATTTTACTGCTAATATGGTCAACAAACCATTAGAGAAACGAGATGGACTCGAGATTATGGTGACCAGTGCTAACCATGAGATCGTTATATTCACATTGCAGGAATGCAATAAATCAGATATAACTAAAAGATTGAATATAGAAAAGGTAAAAATGAACCTGACAGATTAGCAAGTGGCTCACTTCTTCTCCTTCTTCGTTAAAAAGAAGGAGATGTCAGGATCCAACAGACTGCCTTATGGCTAATGTTTTATCATAGGTATCTCGATGATGTCAAGATGCCTTTATGTTATATATGCGTAAGATGTGTGGTAAAACTCAAAGCTGCAACTTTAGATCCTTGTCTTGAATCCCCCGTGTTGGGAAGAGAAATGATAACGGTAAGAAAAGGAAGAATCACAAAAAAGAGAAAGACGAAGATGGTTAGGATCAGGAAGGAGGTTCATATATCTAAAAGTGTTTTATTGCATCAGGCAATGGCATAAAGCAGCCGTTTTACTTTTAGGAATATACGAGGTTTGAGATCTTGTTTTTTTTTCCTTTAATTATTTGTTGGACACAGTACTTCCCTTCCAACAATTTTTAGAGGTATTTGCAGAATAAGCGCAAAAAGAATGGCTTCATTGCTCACCATACAGATGGGAGTTGAGGAGAAATGGCCGCAGAAACGACAACCTTCAGAAAATGTACGGCTCAGGGCACAGTAATTAGGAATTTTCTTAGTTGAACATTAACTTGTTGAATAATATAT